GTCATCCACACTTATTCACCAATAGTGTATTGACATGTGTCCTGCAATAAATACACTTTGGACATGTGTCAATACATTAAGTGGTGGATGACTCTATAAGAAAACTATCTTATAGCTCCATAGAATTTTTGTGGACACATATTTAATTGTTGGGCTTGGGAGTGGACTACAAAAAAGGAGTGAAAACTCATGCTAAGGGAAAATAAATAAATAAATAAAGAGCCGCGGGACTTTAATTGAGAAAGAGATTTATTTGTTGGGGAAAGCTTTTGATTGGTTAAAAGAAAAATGTTGGATATATTGGGAGGCATATTTTTATTGGCGAGAGGACTCGTGCCACGCACAGATAATAAAAAAAAACCGAGAGAGAACGCAAAACAGATGAAAGAGAAAGCGTGCAGATATGGTGAATCCGACAGACGCGGAGGGAAATTGTACCGCACATGAGAATAATTATGTTAGAGTAGATTTTATTCTTCTCTATATGTATAAAGTATATATCTATAAACTATAAAGTACATTATGTGATATGAGTTAAACAACTTGTTTTAAGTAAAATAAAAATAATGATTTACGAATTATTTAAAAATTTAAATAAAAACTTTTGCTTTTTCAACCTTGTAAGTATAAAATTTTCAATTAACACCAATATACACACTATACCATTACTACTNGAAAAAAAAAAAAAAAGAGAGAGAGAAATTATACGAGCCTCTAAACCGCTCAGACGTCTAACCGTACAAGCTGACTGAATTCTCAGTGCCTAGACTGTCTCGATGTCGTTTAGCCTACTTAAACGATGTCTAATTGATCGAGCCTAGAAGAAATACCTACCTGAAAAATCAAGGCGCCCAAATGCTACCTAGCACCTAGACAGGCGCCTAGCCAAATTTTGAGAACACTACTTTTTAAAATAGTTAATCATAAGCAAATAAGCTACCAGGTGATCCAATATACAAATCCATGGTAGACTGAAATGAGAAGAGGCATTCAAAAACCATTGAGTGGAGATATAGAATGGCAGGGCAATTCTCCTTTGGCAGAAAAAACATTGCAACTTTAATTTTACATGCAAATGACAATTTTTTTTTTCTTACTTTGTTGGTTTCTTCCAAAGGAGAACTGCCCTGTTATTCTTCTCCTCTTTACCAAACCGTTGTGCGTATTTTCGGATTCCCGATTTCCAGACTCTGCCTCTAACCGAGCTTCGGTCCGTATGGGTTTTTATACTCTACTATTCGGCACCTTCATCTGGATATTCTTTCTTGAAACATTAAATGGTATATTCCATTGAACAATACCTATAATAATCTGAGAGAGGAAAATGGCATATGCTGTAAGATCATATTCTCTCTATAGTGTTTTTTTACCACTTTACGGAAAACAATCTTAGTTTGTTCTATGGATATGCTCTTTTTACTCTTACAAAGATATAGAAAACATTGTATGCAAACGCGGTGAATCTGATCCTACATTCTTTTTTTCTCTGACACATTCATAAGAGCTGTATTTATGCCAGGGAAAAAAAAATCAACTTTTAATTACTACATGATTTGCTTGCATTAGTGCTAAGTACTTGATGTTAAACAAGACAGATTTGGATACTTTTTGATCAGTTATATTAATGTCAGTCGGGTATTACATGACATTAGCGCAATATATATGATTTTAGCTTGTAACTCTTTTACAAGTTCTATAAGATTTGCTTACAACTTTAAAAGGTTGCATAAAGATTACCAAAAAGGTTAAAGGAATAGGCTCAATATATATATGATTTTAGCTCGAAACTTTTCGATTATTACATGATCAGCTAATTCGTCACTAGTGACAAAGTTTTACCATGAATTTTAAAACCCAGCAAGGATTTGTCGATTTTTTTTGGTTTTAACATTTTGTTAATTCGTCGCCTTCAGATGCTTTCATTGGCCTTTTTTGTGGAGTTAATTTATAGCATATAATAAAACTGATTGTCAAGATAATTATCTTCAACAGAGAATAAATTACAGTTCACCTTAGTGTATATATATTATGAACAAAATTGGTGATAATTAATCTATATATATATAATAAGAATTAATATTTTTCAAAAATAGTAAGCAAAAAAATAGGGAATATTAATTGCATTCCATTTTTGGTATGTTTTTTTAATATTTTTTAATAAAAAATCAAGTAGCATTTAATGCTAGCACAAATCATGGGATTTGTTATATAGATGCATATTTGAATTTCAAACTTCAAACAAAACATGCCTAAATGTATTTTGAATTTTTTAGGGAAAAAATTTAACAAACACATTAAAAATGTCATACAATACATATATTTATATATATTATCTTAACATATAGGTTAATTAGTTTCATATCTAAACAATATATATTTAAACAATATATAAACAAATATAATAATTTATCGTACAATACAGACAAATATATAAACAATATATTTATATACAAATATAATAAACAAATATAATAAAATAATACAAACAAATATACAAACAATATATAAACAAATATAAGAACTTGTCACGTGTATATTTCGTACAATACATATATATGTATATATTATCTTAACATATAAGTTAATTAGTTTCATATCTAAACAATATATATTTTAGGAATTTAAAGATTCATAACATTACTGACGTCATGTATATTTATAATATATTGTCACGTACATTTTACTACAATTGATAACTTTTTTAAAATTATTTGAATAACTGGAGGTTGATTTGTAATTTGAATTTCAAATTCATTTAAACATTTAAAGGAAAATATCATAAGAAGATTTTTTTGATACATTTCATTTTATATCTTTTTAAATTAGCTTATATCTTTTTAAATTTGCTTGCATCACTAAATAATATTAATATACATTACATATTTATCATTATATAACAAATATATTACTTCTACAAGTGATATAAATAATAATGATATTATATGATAATAGATTTTTTGATAGATTAATAATTGAGTATTATGATGAACCAAAATATGTAAAATTATTATTATTTTGTATTAAAAAATAAATATATATGTTAAAATATTATTTATAATAATATATTGGTTCATCATGCTATTACAATAAATTTTATAATAAAATAATATGAGTATTATACGAGGAACAAGATTACGTAAAATTGTTATTTTTCTTATATCAAGGAATAAATATATATAATGAAATTAAATTTATATTATTATAAACATGTGAGCGAGATAATATATTAATTAATTTACGGTCTAGCGCTACCACTACCAGGCTCAGGTTTAATGTCTCGACAAAAAAGATGACGTTGATGAAAGAGGTGAAAAAATAGATGATCAAACTCTATTACTTTTTTAGGCCTTAACTTACAAGCCCTATTGTCCACTCATTTAATATCTCCCGTGAATCACACGTACTAGTTTGTAATAACATTTCACTACAAAATTTCGATTAACTTTCCATAACAATCCACTGAAATCGACAATTAATTCCTTTACACCTCTAAGATTTTGTTATCTGCGTGAAAGTGAAATCGCTCGTTTATTCCTCTGACTTGTAAGAATATGCTTCACATATCAATGTAAATGGTTAGACTATAAATAACTTGCATGGCCACATATATATATATATATATAATTTCTCATCAAAGGTTATCACACGTAATATAGTCATTAGGGATGCATTGCAGGGCAAATACTCCTTTGGCAGTCGGCCTTTTGAATGCTAACAGTAAAAAAAGAAAAGTATTGTTTTGGCGCTCACTGCCAAAGGAGATTTGCCCCGCCATGCAACCATATTAATCGTCGATTTTTTTTTTTTTTTTGTAATTAATTAATTTCCCGCCATTTTTATGGACTTCGAAATTATAAGGTAAGCCGTGCTGCTTTTATTTTGGCTAATCGATTTGTATTAATGATGTAAATGTAATTGTTGTTTTATCGTCTATGTAACACAACAGTCATATCGAGGCCGTGNGTGAAGTAGATGACTGCTGTGCAGCAACTTAAATTTTTTCGTACTTAATTACTGTGTGTGCGTATGCTATCATCTTCTTACCCTTCTTTATTTTAGTATCTTAAAAATTTTATGAAATAATCATTTTAGGAAGGTAATGTTTGAAAAGATTCAACAATGGGGTTTCCAATACGACATCAGCAAATAGAGACTGCAAATTGAAATTTTGGAACAACTTCGACATTATTTTGTTGTCGATCAGGAAATTATTATATGATAAAACGAATAAGGCATTTGATCTAATGGTAGCTGACTTACGATTTGATATTTATTAAAAAAAAATGAAAGTTGAATAATCTAACACAGAAACAGAAAATTGTACAAAATTGTAACCTAAAAACTTATTGGACGAAATTGTAAAAATAACTAAGTAAAAATTATTATACAATGGCAACCCTAAAAAGTTTGTGGGTAAAAATGAAAAGCAACCAAGCTAATGTACAATAATTACATGTTTTTCCATGCTTTAAATAACTAAATAGTTTGTGAAAGAGCATGATGGTCTCTGAACTAATAACTAACATGATCTTGGACATATGCTAAAATGCAAATAAAATTACATATGTTATGTGTACATATTTAATATTTAAACTAATAAATTAGATAATGAGCATATCATATTTTCTAAATTTTATTGTCAGTAAACATGAACGATATAAATACACTATTTAATTTATATATTAATTTTTATACTGATTGCAATAATGTAATTTTACAAATCTTGGATGGTTATGAATAATTAATTAAATAAAAAATTATTGAAATTATCATTATATCAATTGTATAAAGGGTTCGGTAGTGCCTATAAAAAAAATAATTATTCGCAGCACTACATGTAGCGTGATATATCTATTTTGACAAAGTATATGATAAAATTATTTGTTTTGTTATGTAAAATAATTTTAGTTTTTATTTTATAGTTGTATTCAAATTTTTATTTTGTACTAATTTCACATAGGTAAATTTCCCATTGTTTCTCCAAAACATTGGGAAAAGTTGCTTTTACCATATTATACAAGAACTCAGGAACAAACAAGAAGCTAAATTCCTTTGGATTAAACTTGAATTAACCCAAATTAATATTCAAACAAATGAAAAAATTTAAACAACAGAGCTAAAACTAAGGCTAGCTAATCTGTCATCCCCACTTATGAACTCAAATCTCTCACACTACTCCCCTCACTGAATTCTCTTAATCACCAGCATGATTATATTTAAAATCATAAAAATATAATCTTCTGGCCTTATAATCCTGGTCAAGATGGAGGGAAAAACCGGTTGAGGTTGAAAGGAAGAGTGTAGAACTCTTCATTTCGACTGTCCCCTTTGAAAGTCCGAAACTTAACCCACCACGGCATGCCTCTGTCCCTTGCACTATCTTTATAGTCGAGCGTATTGTCCAAAAACACCGACACTATTAAGGCTACCGTTGGGGAAGATGTGAATATCGTGTTCACAAGATCATTAAACTGCAAGGACAAATCATAATTAATGATCATGTATATATAATTAAGTTTTCCTTTTGTTTTATGGAAAGAAAGGAAGAAAAATGAACTAACCCATCCAGCCCTAGTATGTGAAGGGCCATGAAGAGCAGCACTTGTGTATTCCCTAAAATATTCGGGTATTGACAAGCCCAGAAATAAGGACACACCCGTAATAAAAAGGTTTCTCATTGAGTTCATGTTTGTGAACTGCAAAAACGACAGCCCAACCGAAGCTAGAAAAAGAAAAACAAAAAAAAAGTGGTGGTTAAAAATTAAAACATTCAGTAAAAATGCGCAAAGAGAAAAATGTAGGACTAGTAAGAAATTAAACAGTGTATAACAAATTATGGAGTAAATACGTACCAACAAGGCCGAACATAACGCAATACAGAGCTGCAAATATTGTGAAGGGTATGGATGCAAATATTGCGCCGAATTTCCCTGCACGATTTTAATTATTTGATTCTGTTTGCCTTTTTTGGAGAGATATGTAAGGCGGTATTATTGGTATGTATTTGTATACCCAATATGGAGAAGAAGATCATGAAACCAGCTGATATTTGGATTACTCGCCTACTGCCAACCCGAGTGCTTCCAAGAAGACCAATATTTTCCCTGATTTACATAATTTTATTTTATTTTCAAAATCTAATCATACAATGATTCATAAAATCTGAAACAGCAAAATGCTAACACCAAAAATACTTACACTGAAACTGTTGATCCAGTACCAGTACCAAACAAACCGTCCAACAATATTCCAATCCCCTGTACATAAAAATTAGCACATTGAAGAACTTCTTTCAATAGTCATCTCTTATTATTACACAAGTGAATATAATAAATTTGAAAATTTGCTTATTAGCCCTTCCTTTTTCAGTTTTTACAGACCTGCCAACCGATTCCACGGCTAAGAACATGCGCCGGAGGAGGTGTGGCGCTTGCCAGACGAGATGCAGCCTTATATGCTCCAGTCGACTGCATAAAAACAAACATTTTCAATCAAATCACATACTACTTAATTACTTGACAATTTTTTTTAGGAGGAAAATTATTATTTTTTTTACCTCAATTAAGGAGACTATTACAGCCGATATCATTCCAAAAGCATGACCGGCATCAAAAGTAGGTGCACCCCATTGAAGCGGGTACGGGATTTTGATCCTGTTGAGAGTTAACAACAATATTGGTCCGAAAAAGAATGCACAAAAATGAGTGCTCATTCAATTTTTCATTTCTTGTTTTTCTTCTATCTATTTATTGATGATGCTAACCATGGAGCTGAAGATATGAGGTTTGCTCTATCAGTTCTGCAATTGATCTGAGTCAACTCAGGCCGGTGCCTGTAAGCGCCGCTTGCAGTCAACAAATGTGCATAAGCCCATATAACTGTCACTGTTATGAGAAGTGCAAATCTCTCAAGTATGGGGATTTGTTTTGTTTGGAAGTGCTTCAAATACTGCATCAAAAATTGAACTTTTGTATGCTCAGAAAAACACAAATGTACCAAGAAAGGAAAATTGAACTCCTTTACTAATAAAGGATACTTTTGGCCATCTAACCTGCGAGAAGGCGACGAATAAGATGAACATTGGAATGCCGATTTCTACACATCGTCCGACCTGATAATGATGACAATAATAAGAATCAATAACATATACTATTCAATTTTCTATACTATCAATTATGCAGCAAATGGAAATTATTTTTTTTTTTTTTTTAACTCACCACGGGAAAGCCCTTATCAAGAAGACCAAAACCCACCAGAGAAATTACAGGGACCATCCCAAGTGGACTGAAAAATCTGGAAAAAGAGATAATTGTTGTTCTTAACTAATTCACAAGAAATAAAAGGTAAGTTCTTTTAACAAACTACGAATAGTTTGGTTGCTATGTATATCTCGTTAAAGAACTATAACCTCGAACATATAGCCCACAACTGACTAAACCCAAGAATAATCTGCACGCTCGATGCCACTATAAGTGCCCCTTGTAATGCCCGCATCGTACTCAAAAATCTCTGCAGGATTGAAAATTGATATAATGAATATTCACATAACGGTGAGATATTTGAATTGCACATTCTAGTACATTCATTTATAACTTGTAAATTAAAGAACTTCCTCAACTTGACAGTATTAATGAATAAAGATTGCTTTTTTTTTACTTTGAAATAGAAATTCATTTTGGTTTTGCCCTGCACATCAAACTGAACCAGAAAAATAAAAATCAGATTTTAGCCACCATACCATGTGAGGGTCCGTAATTCTTTCCAAGGATGGATCGTGAATTATCGAGATTATAGGTACCATGAAAGCCCACGACCCACCAATAACGGTCGGCAATCGAGTACCGAACAAAGATTGCAGCAATGTGTTTATTCCTCCAATGAACAATAATGTCTGAACTACCCTCACTTTATCATCCTGGTTTACATGCATCAAAAGGGAAAGTTATTAGAACACCACATTAGCCATAACAATCTTGGAATTGACATAAATTAACTTTAACAAATCAAGAAACAAGTAATTTATGATAAGTAATAACTTCAAGAATCAGATATCAGCTCATATAGCGAAAAAAGAAATGATAAATTACTTTACAAGTAGAAAGAAAGAAATTTAAATGAAGACAATTGGCTTACATCATTTCCACCCATCAAAGGAACAAGAAATGAAGGAATCATCACAGCAGTGCCTAATGCCAATATATAATGTTGAAATCCAAGAGCTATAGCCTCCACTGTTTACGACAAATAATCAAACACTTTGCATACAAACAAACAATGAATTAAAAAAGAAAACTGGACATAAACAAAAAGATAAATAAATAACAAACCCCATGAAGGATTAGAATCAATGCAATACTCTAAGCCCTGAAGTTGGTCCATTGGGGGATGACTTATTTCCTCTGGTTTTGGAGCAGCCATTTCACACTAATTCCCAACTCTCCTTTCAGCTCCTCAATTTTCTCAAAAAGAGACTTCACCAAATTAATGTAAGTTTGCAAAGGTTTAATGCAAGCATGAAAAAAAAAAATGAAATTTTGGTTCTAAGTAATGGGGTCTGAGTTATTACACAACAAGATAGAAAGTGAAGAAAAGCAAAAGGAGAAATCAATGCAGGAAAAAAGAAAAGTAGAAAAAAAAAACAGTCAATGTGAAACAAGACTGAAATAGTGATGCCAATGCCCCTGAAGGAAACTTCCAAAACCAGATGTTACCGTTGGACCCCCTGGCTTGCGTTCTGGGCTGTACTTTTTTCTGAGCCTTAAATCAAGTTGCTCTTTTAATCACCACTTTATTTGGTAAATTCTGAGATTCAGGCAATCCTCAACGTGCTGAAATAAGAAATAGGAGAGATGGCCGTTATTCTCCTCTTATTTTTTTTTTTTTTTTTCACTTGTCTAATAAAATTATTGAGTAGAATTTATCCATGGAGTGAAAAAAATAAGAATGTTGTTAGGCAAGGTATAGCGAGAATTATTTTTCAATTGGGGTTGCAAAATTTACTGATGTTATTCGAAATGAATTATCATGTTACATAATTTGATTTGACATGTGAAATCTTAAGCTCGACAAGCTTGTATATTTGCACGAGTCAACCAACTAATTGAGCCTCTCTATCAAATTGAGTCGAGCGTGTTCGCGATGAGCTCGGTTGGAGTTTCGGTTTTGGTCTAGGGTGTGAGGTTTATTAAATGAGTCGAACCGAGTTTCTACGAGTTGAACTCGATGTCATATTTTTGTTTGTTTATTAAACGAGCTGAGCCACGCAAACTCGTTTATTAAATGAGCATGACTTCGAACATGAAATGCACAACTCGAATAATTTAACTATATGTTTTGAAATAATACAAATTATATGAATAGCAAGTATTCTAAAATAAAAATGTTATATTTGCATAATAAAAATATCAATTATTATACTTTTTAAACATGTTTTATGCATGAATTGCACTCTTTTAACGAAAAATTGTGAATTATTAACTACTCTTATACATATGACAAACGTTCATTTTTAATTTATTTATTATTCTTTAGAAAAAGCACAAAAATAATTTTTCTTACGCACTTGAATTTTAATTAAAAAAAATGCACACATGCACACAAACAATTTATTAAAAGGTCTGCTATGATGCGGCGTAATAGTCCTCCACTCTTGTTATATGGCAAGCCAATATTTAAGGTCCATATATCATTCATTGAATATGTCACACAACTAAATGAGATTTAATAGTATATTTGATACACTCAAATATCATTTATTTAAATATTCAATGAATATATAAACGAGATTATGAAATCTAAAAATGCACAACCTTTACTCAATAACAACCTTTTCATTAAAATTTATTCAAGGTCAATTGTCAAGAAAATGCACAACCTTTGCTCTTTTGGCTATTTAATCACAACCTTTACTCCTTAGCAATATGATACATCAATTTAAAGTTGTTGGCAATATGATACACGCCTTTAACTTCCGTTGATGAAAGATGATGTGGCCAATTTGATTATTTTTTCTTACATGGCGTAGGACAAGCCCAGATGTCCAAATCAGCCCCTACATGGCATTTCTCTTTAGAGCATCTTTAGTAAATAAACCTCTTAAACCTCCTTTTACACTTTCAAATACGCCACATCATCCAAAACCTCATTCTTACTCCTATATCCATAAACCCCAAATAACAATAAATCTTATAAACCTACTTTTTAATAAGTCCCACATGTTTCTATTTAATTTTAATTAATAGTATATTCCTATATTTTTATTAATATTTGTAAAATACAACTCCACTTTTATTTTTATTAAATCTTTATATTATATATTTATCATACATAAAAATAAAAACATAATACAATTATATAATAAATAAATAATAATAAAAATAACTAAATATAATGAACCTGGTCGAATTACAAAAATTGATTAAAAAATAAACAAACAAGAATTATTTTAAGTTTTTGGACGAAAAACAAAAAATAAAAAACATATATAAAAAGCAAAGCGAGAATTATACAACAATTGGACAAGAAATACAAATAGTTGATTAAAAAAAGTAAAATAAAATCTATATATATTGAAATAGAGAGGTAAATAAATCATTTGTGGAAACTTTTAAAAAATAATAAGTCAACCATGTTGACATACTAATTATAACAATCTTATAAAAACTGATCAATTTGAAATTATGATACCATATTAAAATCCGTTCAATTTGAATTTGTGATTCCATAATTTACGGATGGTATATTTTGTGCAGATTAATCCATATTTATCTTCAACAAAAAGTCCTAACCAATCGCCGTATTAAAGTCTTATCAAAATCAGTTTAATATGTTATCAAAATCCATCCTTCTATTAACCAGTATTGAAACGCATTAAAATCTGTACAAAATCATATCTAAACTGCTTCTCGCATCTCTCCTCTCCCAAAATCAGATCTGAACAAGTCAATAGAAATAATTCTCCCAAAATCAGATCGAAACAAATCACATCCAAAATAATTCTCCCAAAATCAAACTCAAACCATTTCTCCAATTAAGGCTCGACATGAGGATATAGGCACGGTGGATCTCCATCGTCTTCTCCATGCTCGATGAACGGCGATTGCAACAGCAGCCGGGAGGAGCTCATCGAGGCACTAGAGAATCTCGGGATCTACGTGCTAGAGGAGAAACTGCGGGCGATGATCGGGGAGATTGATGCTGACGTGAACGCCTAGGTGGACGTCGAGGAGTCTGGCGCCTTGTACGAGCAATGGAAGACGACAGAGGCGACGAGGGGGACGACGATGAAGAGGACGTGCGGGAGGTGTTTAGGGTTTTTGATCGGGATGGGGCGGGTTCATCATGGCGGATAAACTGAGGTCGGTGCTGGCGGCGTTGGGCTGAAGTAGGTGAAGTCGTTGGTGGAGTACCGGAGTATGATCGTCCGGGTCGACTTAGGTGACAGACGGGAGGGGCAACTTCGGCGACTTCCGGATTGCTCCATCTCCTAAACCCTTTGAGATAAGTGTTCAAATTTTGAAATCCTCCAAAACTCGGTCAGTTTATTTTTCCTCCCGATTCTCCCCTATTTTTCTCTAATCATCCTTTTATATTAATTAGAGCCTGCATGTGTGAAAAAAGAAGAATAGAGGGCAACAATGTGTGCTGAGTGGATAGAAAAAATATATCCGTGTGCTCTGTGAGTTGAGGAGAAAAATATGTGAGTGCTCTTGGTGAGTGCTAAGTATGTGTGAGAAAAGCAAATAAATCAAGTGCATGTTTTTCGAGAGTGAGTGTACTGGGAGTGAGTGGAAAAACCATTGTACTATGTGCTTTTTGTGAGTGTGAGGGTATGAAATAAAACAGAGAGATTGAGAGCATAAAACATTTGGTACTGCAGCCACAAATGTTCGAATTCGTCTACGTAAAAGGGTGTAGTCGTTCTCAATCTCATCCTCTCTTGATTAGTTTTAATTTATGTTTATTAATCACTTTTAGTTTTTTGTTTGTGGCTGCAGTATGCACACTTAAAGTGATGCCATGGTGATGGTGATTAGTTTATTTGATTGCTGAAAATCTTCCGTGACTCATTGGTTGTTTTCTGGGACTGAGCAGAAGCTGTTCGGGCTCTACCGGACTGCACGTTAACTCAAAAGATTAAGGGCGGGCCTTGGACGGGCGGATACCCAACAACGAGGATTACGATGACGGAAGACATTAAAGGATGCTTGAGGAGATTACTGGACTACCTGTTGATGCCGTCAGAGCTATCTTTTCTGTAACTTCTCATGTTGATTTTGTATTGATAATGGTAGTTCCCTTTTGGATTTTTAGAGTCATGAGGATATGATTTTTGTAAGCATTTTGAGAGAATTAACTCGAAAATTCTAAATTCGAGTCAAAAAGAAGAAAGAGTTTATAGTATCTGAGACATATCCGGAGTTTGAGTACAATACAAGGCCTGCAACCGTTTTCCCTCAGGTAAGAGATTTATGATTTGGCCTAATGTTGTTTGGTTCTATATTTGAATTTCCTTTGCTAAGTTTGAAGAAGTCAAGACCATGTCGTTCGGTTTTGATTTTTACCAAACAATTAAAGTGAAAAAAGTGCGAAAAGTTTAACATGGTAGAATTCCCAATGTTGGCATCTCAAGACAAAGTTTAACATTAGGTAAACAAACTGTCACCAAAATAGGGCTCATAAGACAGAAAGAAGCATTCAACTTATGTTCGCAGTTCATACAAAGTTATTGTATAATCTATTTATCTATGGCGTTTATTGCTCAAGATTTGATGTTATTAAATCTCAAATGATGAATTTTAGAAATTTTAAATCTCAAATGATTTATATATATATATATATATATATATATATATATATATATATATATAATAAGAAATCTCAAGATTGAAACTTCTAAATTTTTCAAAATCTCAAATGATGAATTTTAGAAATTTTAAAAATTCCAAATAAAATACACCAATATATATATATATATACACACCATTCATCTGTCGGCACTTCCGACAGATGATGAAGTGCGGCCGCATAATCAAGGTAACTTTATTGTTTTTTTTATAATTTTTTTGTTTTGATGTGCAAATTGCAATTGCCAATTGGTTGGTGTAGTTAATTGATTTTGATTCATGCCTCTTGGTCGGGCTGAGAAATAATTTATGTTTTTTAGCTGCAAATATTGATTTTTGCAAGCATCAATGTCGCACGCTATGACCTTATGTGCACTGAGATGGACGGGCGGGTGTATGCGGTCGAGGGGTGCGGAGCACAAGGAGTTACGTTGAAGTCTGGCGTGCTTACAGTGAGTTACGTTGTGTTCTTATTTGTGATTAATTGGTTTCTCAGTAGGACAGTGAGTAAGAACTTAGACCATATGTGATAAAACTAGATAATGTGATTTGTGTGTGGTGGACCATGGAGGAATTTCTTCCTATTTATGTTTCATATCTTTTTGTGGATTCTGTTAATTGTCTTATTGACCATTTTAAGCAAGATAGTTAAGAGGAACCGGGAGGAAAAAAAAGTTTTATGGCACTCCATAGATGTCTTATTGCTAAAGTTTTAGGTGAAAGGATTGTATAACTATTATGGCAGAATAGTAAGTGAACTTTTTTTTTTTTTCCTGTCTCTTAGCAAGTGAAACATTCCTATCTTTTATGTATGTGTTTGCTAACCTGTAGT